TGTTTTTAATCTAGAAGAAAGCAAGAATGTGAAAGAACAAGGGATTCTCAGTTCACATCAAAATCCCTTAAGAAGATTGTGGGAAATACTAATGCCAATGCTCCACTTGGAAAGGTTCTAATTTAATTGATTTGGCTTCTTTAAAAAAGTTTCTAAGGTGACTTAAATGTTAAGTTAGGATAGAAAGCCACTGGATCAAATATTTTTGCTGATGTTAAGTTTTTACCTCTTTGAAACTAGGGTACCATTGCCATTGTAGAAAGGACTGGACGCTTAGTCCCTTGGGTGGACAGCAAATGGGCAACATCCTGTGGTAGGGCTGTAGGTTATCATATGTCCTTAGCATTTTTATTTTTTTGTGTCATTTCAAATGTTAATCCTTTATCTGTTTGAAGACGGATGAATACTCTTGTGTTCATGTAAGATCAGGTTGAGAAAGAGGAAAGCTTAAGAGTACACACCTGCTAATGAGATTAATGAAAGGAAAGGTGAACAAGGTCATGAAGAAAGGCACTTGATAACATCAGCCAACCAAAGGAACATCAGTTTAGAGAAAGGTGGGCATGCAGGTGGGGAAAGGGAGGAGGAACAGAAGTTTGACAGTCTGGCAGACAAGGTAGCAATGGGAATAGATATGGTCGACTTCTTTATTACAAAACATCCAGTTTTTGCAATGTGGTTTATATTGATTATTGTTAATTTCAGTGAATTATCTTGTGCACTTCTGTATTTTGCTATGTTTTAATTATCTTGGAAATTTGATTCTGAAGTCAATATAGTAATTCTTTCCTACTCTACAACTGCATATAATAGTGATTTTTAGTTGACATTTATTGTACAATTATAATATGCTTGGCATAATAAGTGTCTATTTCTTGTGTTATTTTATCATTAATTTTCAAAGTAATCATGTGAGTTGGTTACTGTCTTTATTCTCATTTTGGACACGAGGGAATAGAGACTTAAGGTCTTACTAGTAACTTGTTCAAAGTCATAGTTAGTTGGTAAAGCCAGAACTTTAACTCAGAACGAAAGATGTTCTATAGGAAAGCTCAAATTCCAGTCATATATATATATTGTCTAGGGGGACTAGCCTGAATGCTAGAATAAAATATAAGGACAAATATAATGATAATACCGATATACTTAAATATAGCATTTGTATACATAATCTATTATTTGTGTGGATTATTAGAAATGTAAAATATATTGACTTTATGATATGGTGATAATATAGACCAATCATGTGCATTTTTTGTGTGTAGGAATCCATTAGAGGACACACTGGTTAAAAATTAAACATGAAAGGTAAATAAAAAATAAATTTTATGTTCATATGTTTACGTTGTTTAAAACAATAATACAATCTTTCTCTCTCTCTCTCTCTCTCTTTTAATTTTACAGAAGTTGCATGTGTGCAATCAGAATGAAGACCACATGCCATCGCAAGACTATGTCCTCACATATAACTACGAAGGAAGGGGATCTCCAGCTGGTTCTGTAGGTTGCTGCAGTGAAAAACAGGAAGACGATGGACTTGACTTTCTAAATAATTTGGAACCCAAATTTCTTACATTAGCAGAAGCATGCACGAAGAGATAATGTCACAGTGCTGCAATTAGACATGTCCTTGGGAGGCATTCTGGATGTTTCAAAATCAGATATACATGGTCCTGGACTTAACAATGGTTTGACTTACAATTTTTTTGTTGTTGTTGTTGTTTTCTTTTTTTACTTTGTGATAATCTGAAAATGATACAGATTCATGGGACACTGGACTTTGAAATTTGAATTTTGACCTTTTCCCAGTCTGACAATAGGCTTTATGACACTCTTGTAATGCTGTGCAGTAGCAATGAGCCTCAGCTCCCAGTCAGTCGGGCCATCAGGATGAGAAGCAACTGATGCTTCACAGGGTATTGCATTGCTAAGCTACGGTGTTTGGTAAATAAGGTGTATCAAATGCATTTTCAGTTTAATGACGTTTTTGGCTTATGACAGTTTTATTGAAACAAACCCCCATCATATGTATAGGAGCATCTGTATATATAATGGATTTTTCTAGATTTTGAATTATATCACTTACCAAGTTTGTATTTTAGAAGCAATTTGTTATTTATCTTTTCCAAGAAGTGAAAAATGTTAAAACAGACAACTAGCAAATATCATGCTATAGTATTGGAATTACGGTCTATAAAGGATCTACTCTCTAAAGATATTTTTCTGATAAATGTTTTGGGTAAATATTAGTTCATAAATAGTAAAGCTATTATTATATACTAATTTCAAGGAGCAGGTTAAAAATAGACAAGAAATATTAAATATGAACAAAATTTTGAGAAAAAAATCATTAAGAATAAGTTAAATTAAAATTTTTGTTGCTCTGAAGATTTGGGACCAACCCTCACCCCATTCCCACTATCAAATTCCTCATTTGACCTTGAAGGCAATATTTGCTGAACTAACCTATCGAGTGGCAATAGTCTATAGGTATATAGTTTGAAATTAATATGTATGGGTATGAAATTATTATCAATTTAACATTAAAAATGAAATTAAAACAAAAATGAAACAACTTAAAATGAGGCTGGGCTGAGGTTTGTCCTTTAATAACAATCAGAGGTTTTAAAAAAACCAGAGCTTCTTATGCCTAGTTCTTACATACTATGTGATAACTGAGTGTATCAGGACGGTTTATGTCCACATGTATAATTTGCTTAAACTTGTAAGCAAATTATACTTGTCTTTTAAATTATACTTCTTCCATAGGAAGAAAGGAGGGAAGCAACTGGAACAGTAAATTTGTTTTGCAGTATAAAGATTTCTGTGTCCACAAATTAGTAACAGACAAGTAAATACTCACCATAGTTAGGACTCCCAGCTTTCTGGTGGAAGGTTCCAGAAATAAGTTGTTTTTCCTGGTAGCAAATACTAAAACCATATTTTAAACATTATCTCTGCTGAAATGAAATCCTCTATCATTTTTTTCTCTCTCTTCAATTTATGAACATCTTTTTTATTTAGAACCAAATACCCATGTCTTCTAAGTCACAGTGTAGTGGCTACATGGGGTGGGGAGGCAGATCTTACTGAGACCATCCAGTTGGCAGTGACTGTCCATCAACTCAATCCTATAAATTCTCATCCTTTATACTGTATTCTAATCAGAAACAGGGAGCTATGACATGTTTTCCTGACTCACTGTCTTGTTATAAAGTGGCACTGGCTTGATTCAAGATAACCCAGGTTTCAAGAGCCCCCTTCTTTTATTTCTCTCTCATCCCTGTCCCCCAAACTTCTAGGAGACATTCACTTAAATGGCCAATACTCTAGATTTTCAATCATCTTTCCGTGTAAATTATTGTTTTTTAATCAATTTATTTTGGAACAAGAAATGTTGCATAGGAGAAATCTGGAATTCAGAATGCATGAAAGAAAGAAATCAAGTTGTCCTTGAGAATACAGCGAAGGGCAGACCCAAGAGATCAAATTGTCATTTTGGAAGAGGGCCAGCCTGAGTGGCATATTTGGAAAGTCAGAGAGCAACAGGCCTTCAAGGTCATGGAGAGACACCAGCAAATGCTGGGAGTGGTAGTGAAGGCCAGTGGTCTGCCTCATAACTCTTTCCTAGGCCTGGCCCTACTTTTCCCTTCTTAAGTCAGTGCAGCAGTGGTTTGATTGTGGAGAACCCCTTCATCATGTCTCTTCTTGTTTGGAGTGTGGAATAGGGAGAGGGTGGGCTGCTTGATGAACCTGAGGCTTTCAGGATGGGTCTGAACTGGTTGTGCAGAACAAACAAGGCACTCAAGAAGAAAGCTTGATTCCCTCTGGACATGAAGAAGGTCTTTACCCTAAAAGTGGTTCTAAACTTCGGATTGGGTTCTCCATTTTCTTTTCTCTCATTTACTGCTGAAATCTAGGTTTTTTAGACTTAGATTTTTGATACAGTCATTTTCCAAGACTTCTAATTTTAATGTAATCATTTTAACATGTAGAATTATTCTTTTCTTCCATGTGTAAGGTGAAAATTATGCTATTTTAGTGTGTAAGAAAATCTTTTTTTTAAAAAAAGAACTTTACATTTTTTCCCTTGGGTTTTTAAATTGTAAATATGCAGATTTTTTTCCTTACATTTATAAGGAAGCAGTTAACTATCTCAAGTGCAATGGGGTTTATTTTGCCATGTTTTAAATACAGCTTTAATTTTGTCATTAGAAGAAGCTACTTTGTTTTAAAGAAACTTGGCAGGCTAAAATAAGCAAAGATTCAATGTGTAAAGAGTACTTACAGTCATACAATATAATAAAACAGTGCTAATATGGTTTCTTGTCTGTACTGTGTTTAGAGACTGATTTGGTGTAAATTGCAAAATTGTTTTTCAGGTTAGCATAGAAATAGAATTCCTCAACAGAGTCACTGTTGTATTTGTGGGGAATATTTCAAAGAATGGGACATTATCAAGTTGTCAATATCATTAATATATATTATACTTTGAGGTGAGATTGCTATTTTGAGGTACTGCTTTTTAAATGGTATCTACCTATGTATATGTTTACATTGGATTTTGATTTCTCATGAATCAATTTCTCATTATAATTACAAGGTAGTTATAATTGCAAGGTGTTCCAGAAATAGTTCCGTCATATAGGAGTTTTGAGGACAAGTATTTTGAGGACAAGTATAGTCAAGGGAAAACATTATGAGTTTAACTAACAAAAATCCAAAACAGGCACTCAGTATTCCAATCTGGGTTCCTTCACTTACTTGATAGATAATGTCTGACTTTTATCACAAGATGATCCAAACCAAATAAGGTGGTGTGTACTTCATAGTGAATCTTTTCCCCATGTATGAAAGTGATCCCTCACAAAGGTGAAGCTGTTTATTTAAAAAATTTGTTAGTTGAATCTAAAGCCTTAAATTTTAAATATACTTTGGAACACAATTTCAATTGCAGGAACTTTTATTGTGATCGTTATTTTTGTGTGCAAGTATTTGACTTCAAGGATGTTCATTAGATTTTTGTCTGTAGTAGCAAAACATTGACTAAATTCCATATGTCCAGCAGTATTGATTTAGTAAAATATTGAGTCATAATAGTTGGGCGCACAGACACCAGAGCCAAATTGCATGGATGTGAATCCCAGCTCTGTTACTATCGGGGTCTCTTAGGCTCTATATCCTCTCTCAGCTTTTTCATCTTTAAAATCAGAACAACAATACCAACTTTATGGGATTCTCAGGATGATTAAATTAATGAACATATTTAAAGCATGTAGAACATTTCCTGCACATAGTGGAAAATTGGGTTAGGTATATAGTCAGTAAAATCATGTAGTTGAATATGGTATAAAACAATATCTGCTCTTTTTCCAGGGTCAAAATGTTTGTGCTTACCTCAGGGGAACGAGGGGAAGAAACCTGAATAGAGTCTTCCAAGAGAATAGAATTATGATTGACTTTTGCATTCTGAGTTTATTTTCTACAACCAAAGAACAAAATTTTGAAGTGTGTGTTTGTAAGGTGCTACCAGACTAAACAGCTTCTTTTCAGCTTTTTATTATTTAGGATTAGAGTTGGTTGCATAAATGGAAAACTTAGTGTCCAGGGTAAGTTGGCAACCCTCTATGCTCTGATAACTTATTGTGGTTCCACATTTGAATTTCAAAGCTTGCGTTTTGTCTTTGGTTTTTTTTAACAAATTGTAGTGAAAGTCACAAACGATAAATTTCACCATTTCAACCAATGGTAAGTGTACAATTCAGTTGCATTTAGTACATTCAGAAATTTGTGCACCTATCACCACAATCTAGTTCAGAACATCTTCAGTTACTATCGTTTAAGCAGAAGGAAAACGTTTAAGCAGTCATTCCCTATTTCTCTACTGCCTCAGGAATTAAAAATGCCTCCTTGGCGCTGGGATTGTAGCTCAGCAGTACAGCACTCACCTAGCACATGTGGGGTGCTGGGTTTGATCCTCAGTACCACATAAAAATAAAATAAGGTATTGTGTCCAACTACAACTAAAACAAAATATTTTTAAAAATGCCTCCCTTCACTTTGGAAAGAAATCCTAGGACATCTGAAAGGATATAAATATTTTCAGAAATAAATAGGACTGTCATTCTCTTGTCTAATTGAAAATCAGGATCCTTTTGTGACAATCAAATGAATGAAAGCAAAAATAGATAGGATAATAAGAATAACAGTATATACTAATTTGTTATTTGTAAAAACATTGTACCCTTTTGGTAAGAATTTACAGCTACAAAAATGGTCATTGTTAATGGTCACAAAGAAAACTAAACACCAATGCTATAATTGGTAATGTTTGATACAAATACTCAATTAAGCAAGTGCATCAATTTTGTATTAAAATACAAAGATATTTATTCCTATTTAAGTAATTTTAGTGAGATATAAAATACAAAATCAGGAAAAGCTTAACTTTGTTGTACAAGAATTTGGAAAATCAAAATTCCTTAATTTTATCTGGGCTGGAAAATATTTTCCAGACAAGTTTGTCAATCTGGTCGTAATGCTACTATCTGTACTCAGAAAGGAAAACTCTTCTATTAAGTTGAAACTCAAACTTCCAATTGGCTTTATTCTTTCTGTTCTTCTGATGAGAATAATAGAACTGTGTCTGTCTTTCTGTCTATCCATCCTCTACATGCTGCCTGAAGGAGCTGGATCTGGAGTGTGATCTCTGATGAAGGCCCATCTTGTGTCCTGTTCTGGGATGCTTTCTGTGTAGCATCATTGAACTTTAGGGAGTCCCTGTCTACATTTTGCATATTCATCTTATTATCATATTCATCACTGAAATACTAGCCTCTGCTTGAAAATAAATTCACCAAAGCTTAGCAGTCTCATATCTATCTATAAAAAAACTATCAGACTTGCCAGCATATAAGATACATTTTCTTCTAGATGGTGCCTTAGGGAGTTTCAAGAGACTCTGAAACTGTCCCTGTCTGAGGACGGACAAACATTAGGACTTGGGGGAACAGAAAAGCCAAAGAGTTTAATTATGGGTGACTGGGGAGGGAAAAAGAGTGATAAAGAAATTATTCTTTTCCCCAAAATATGAGCTTGTAATACACAAAAATTTTTGCAATTTATTTTTTCTTTCTGGCAATTTAATTTGTTCTCAGCTCCCAACTCTAATTCCATTTAAGCAGAAATCTTTGTGTTGATTAGTCTCTCTGACGGTTTACCATAGGATCAATAGAGCCTCCTGGTTTGAAGCTCCCAGAAGCTCTGCTCTGTGATCAGTGTGGGCACTGCCTCAGTGACCACTGGTATGAGTCAGTTTCCAAACATCACCCTCTCTCCTTCCCCTGCCCTTGTGCTCCCTGATCAGAGCTGGCAAATACTAACACTAAACCTCAGAAAAGTCAAGGTGAAAATAAAACCCCAAATGATTGAGATTCATCTTCTATCACTTGGCTCAAGGTAGACTTGATATAGAAACTTATTAATATAAAAACAAAAGGAGATATATTTTTTGGGATATATGAGAGAGGCAAAGATCCTTACCTATATTTCAACAAAGAAGCCACTAGAAATAAATCCAAGAAATAAACTGGTTTACACCGTTCTTTTAATTTTTTGACTAGGTAAGTTCTACGTGAGTCCTGAAGGTAGGAGAGGCTTGGTGTTATGCCTTTGTCTCTGGCTCCCAGCGTCCATGGCTGCTTTTCAAGTATCTGCCAGAGAGAGGGGGCACACCCTTCCATGACTCACACCTATCCTCTCCTCTAGAGGGAACAGGAGCGGCTCCTGGGGCAGGACAAACACATTGACAGAGCCTGGAATCATGTTGTTAGTACATATAACTTCAAAAGTAGAAGGTTCTTCAGGGGCAAATTTGAAAATGCTAAGTTCTGGCAGAAAAGCTTATAAACTCTCTCTCGTATAATTTTTCTCTGCCTCCCGTGAACAATGCAATCCCTGTGGGAAGAACATGCACTTTGGGTACTACGAACTTAGCATTTTCCTTGGCCCAGGCTAATAGATACAGTATGCACTAGAGAGACGCAAGATGCAGAGGGACACTAAAAATGTTGTGGCTGAATTCTCAACACAATTTATATTGATTTTATTATTTTCTTTTCAAAGTGCCTTAAGGTAAATGTATGTTGTGTGATGCAAGTGCATGCGCATTCATTTTATTAAAACGATAGATTTCAATTGTCACCTTAACAGATTTTGCTTTCTCTACATATAAAATTTGAGTCTGTGACACTGGCTGTAGAGTTGTGCTTTGTTTTTGAACTTAAGGCTCATGGACTATGCAGGTTTCTGTGACATGATGTGACAAGTTCCAGGCTAAAGGGCAATTTCACAGATATTCCTTCACTGAAGTTGCTTCTTCTTTAAATATGAATCATCACAGACAAGTTAAAGCAGACATATAATATTTTAAAATTACTTGGGGGAAATGCCAAAAAATGGCTTAAGCATATTAGGCTTGGAAGAGAAAAGAATGCAACGAGTTTTATTGGAATCAAGTTGCTTTATTCACATCTTTGTTATGTGACTCTACTTGGTGAAGAGTAATATATTCATAATGAGAACAGTGTTCGGAGTTAAACATGAGTATGTTCCTCAGTCCAAATCTTAAAAAGCCATTTTCCTCAAAAGGAACCCTGTTCACCTCATTCTCTTGACAAAGAAAGATTCTGTATCTTGAACTAAATTTTATATACTAACTGAGGCTGAAACTAACATACCCAATAACAAATTCTTATACCCTTAAAGATGTTGAAAATATACCTTTATTTCTTCATAACTTAATTTGTCTTTATTTTGGCACACACACATGCCCATATACCTAGGTAAAAAAAATGAAATAAAAATATAATATATTAGTAGTTTACAATTAGGACTTTCTCATTCCTCTATTACTGAGCTGTGTCTAAGTTTCAAGCAGTTTACACCTTTTCCCATAATTGGTGAAGAGCTTTATTTTTGTTTTTGAGATCTTTATACCTAGGAGTCTCCAACACTTCTTATTTTAAAATTGTCTTTTGGTGAAGGTATTCCTGCACCCGATGTCTGACAGGGTCATAGTGTGGGGGATGCTGCAGCAGGGCCGCACCATCTGGAAACTGGAACCATTAGGAATGATAAGTGTTTTGTTTATGATACTCACGATATAGATAACAGGGCATATGTCAATCATTAATAAAAGTACGTATTTCCTGAGACTGCAGGAAAATTCCCAGAATGAGACTAAGGATACAATTGAGACATGCCATGAGGTGCGTTTCAATATCTCTCAGGATACAAACAATAGTGTTATTCTTCAAGCCTG